TATATATATATGTACATACCTTTTTTGTCTATTGATCTTTTCCATTTCTATACACACACACACGGCGCACGCAAAGCATGCTGATAGCGAAGCAAGTGGTCGGCTGGCACCTCCGGGGAGTCCCGCTCCAAGCCCGCGGTGGCCGCCGACTTGGCGATGGTTTTCGGGCACACTCGGCCGGACCTGGCACTTGACTGCTACGACCTTTAGGATAAGGAAAAGTATAGTAGCTAGCTGTATGATAGGTATGTGGAAGTAGGGTCCGTTGTGAGGTCCTTTTTTGCAAGGGTGCCGTACTTAGTCGGGGGCCCAAAAACGGACCCTAATTTAGAGAACTATCCATCCCTACCACAGAAAACTCTATGTCCACGGTTGTGTGACGACTTTCATCGCGACTTCATGCTTGGGCTCCAGGGCACAGGACATAGCTCCAGTAGTTCGTTCGGCCAAGAAATGGACACAGCCGTTACGCGACAGCCGCACATCCTGAAAAGGTCAACGATGCTGCTCAATGCCTGGATCCATCCGATCTCCCAAAAACGGGAAATAGACATTCTAAACCTTCAAGATCCCGACCCGGAGTCCGGTCTCCAGCAGGGGATAGCACTAGAAATTTCAGTCCCTTATAGCAACCCCCGAACATCCCGGCATCCCTGAACTCCGAAACTCGAAACAGCATCCCAACACCAAGAAGCCGCAGACATGGGCTCCACCAGGTTTAGGATCTCGGGAGCTGCCAAAACATAGACCCAATAAAACACATCCGCAACCCTGAAGCAACTTCCGACACCGCCGGATCCTGAACCCAGAACACCCCAGCCCCAACACACTCCACCAAAGCCCGCAGCGCATTCATGGGTCCACACCACGAAATCCGAAACCTCGCCCCATAAAACCCGTACCCTAATCCGCAAAACCTAAACCTCTGAGCCTGTTGAATCCTAAAACCCAGCTCGCGAGCCCTGAACCCTAAGTTCCCCCAAAGAATCCCTGACCCGCAGAGCCCATGTAAACCCTCAATTCTCCCAGGACCCCCCCGAAACCCCTATATGGACCTGAAATGCTAAACCCGAGACTTCCCCCCCCTTCTCCCCTCCGGGCCCATCAGGATCGAAGAGGCTGAAGACCTCCCGGAGACCCTGCACCTGGCTAACCCTCCGGGCGCCCGGACCTACTATGCCCCACCCTAAACCCTAAACCCTACACCTTAAACTCTAAACTATAAAGTAGGTACCGTACCTGCAGGGTTAGGTAGTCCACTCCGGCACAGCCAGTAAAGCACCCCTCGAAGCCGCTCACGGAACATCAGCGCCCTCACGACAGCCCTTGATCATCACCATGACGATGTTTAAGGCTTGAGGTTCCGGGTTGTGGGTCTGAGGTTTGAGGATTTGGCTTAGGGCTCAGGTGTTAGCGTTTAGGGTTTAGGGTTTTGGGCTTCCGGTCCAAGGCTTTAGGGTTTCGGATTAGGGTTTAGAGTTCGTCTGCTTTGAGTCTAAGGATTTAGGGATAGGGATTTAGGGTTTAGGGACCCTAATCCCTTTTTGAGAAACGGCTATGGTCGGTTTGCAACCGTTTTTTGAGCGGACCTGCCTGCCCAGTATTCTTCAGGCCTTTGGATTGAGAGGTGTTGCTCGAGGATTTTGTGACATGTGTTTTCAGTTCTCAATCGACCTGGCTACCCAGTTGGGTTTCAGCAGGCCTGTTTATGGGGGGCTTCAGGGGTTTCATAGGCGTGTGAACTGGTTTGAACAAGGATTTCTGTACGTGCTTGATTGCAAAAACCTGCAAGGGTATCAGAAAGGTTCTGAAGGCTTTTGCAAGGGGTTTCACAGTTTGGGACTTACACCGTTTATGTTTCGATTCTAGATTATCCCAGACCCCCCTTCGAGGATCCAAAACGGTAACCCTATGCAGGGATCATACTACTCTTTGGGTTTAGATTGAGTATTTTTAAATGACGTTCCAGGTTGTGATTCTTCGCAGAGAGTCTGCGACCACCACGCAGTGATGATCATTGACATGTCATTGGAGAAGGCCTCACCGCTAGCATCATCCGCTGCTCCTCATCAACATTATCATCGTCGTCAACAACCTCAACATCACGCCATCGCACCAGACATGAGCAGCTCGTCATACTCAGTATCACCAACATGACCATCGTCGCCATTTTAAAGCAAATGATGAACAGCACTATAATCAACACTGCGTATGGCATCAGCATCTCGCCAGAACCTTCAGCAGGGCCAGCTACCAATGCATCAGCAGCAGCAGACGTGCTGTTCCCAGCAAGAAAGAAACACCAGCAGCAGCCACGAGAAGGACGACAACGACAAAACAAGTGCTGAGCACCACCATGGCACACCACTGCCGCCACGAGCCACCAGGAAGAGTAACAACTAAAACTCTATCACCACAACAACGACCACGACACCACCACTGCCACTATCTGCAAACTACCTCCACACTAACAGTTACCAAGGATACTGCCCTCACTCCGATCACGGTAACTTGCGATTAGAGGAGCTTCCCTGGTTACTAGAGCCCTCAACCCTGACTCCAAGTACGATATGCTTTTGCTGGCTTCTCCCATGAAGCTACACAGCATAACCCCTAACCCGAAACCCTAAACCGAACTCACAGGGCCCACCTGCTCCTCTGTTAAACCTGCGCGAATTGGAACACAGACTGTGCCGAGGCCACCTGATGGTCAAGATCAGGGTTCTGGACGTCACATAGCTTATTATCGTATACTATGGTATATCATGAATATGTATACAAAAGCATACGCGGTAAACTGATTTATATCATAGCATACTATGGTATAGCATAGTGGATCATGGTACACTATGGTGCATCATGGTATGTTACGGTTTATCATTGTTTACTATGGTATACATTGTTATACCATAGTATACTATGACATGGCATGCGAGTGTAACCACAGTATACTATTGTTTGCTGTTGTATGTCATAGTAATCTGCGGTAAGTTATTCTATAATGTAGTATAAGGTAGCATACTATTGTTTCTGATAACATGCCATTGCATACTATCGTATACTAGGGTATTTTGTGTATGTGGCAATATACTACAGTTTAATGTGCGTATATTGTAGTATCTTATAGTAAAGTATAGGGCTTGCGTGACATAAACGCACAACTGTCTAACACGGCCACTTGCTCCTTCCATTTCTTCAGCACATGTCGACATCCGACTGCATAGATCCAGGTGAGCAGTCCTAAACCCCTAAAGCCTAAACCCCTAAACCTTAAGTCCTAAACCCCTAAACCCTGAACCCCAAAACCCTAAACCCTAAACAATGCAACTGTCAGGCGATCCACCTATGGCAGCCTGCCGACTTCGACGCCTCTTGCTTGGCGACGGTAAACCTTCAATCATCCACATTGCGTGACAGCTGTGGGAGGAGAATACCGAAGGGTTCGCTTGTCAATTTCCATGCGATGGAACATCGCTTTTCCATCTTAACATTTTACGTTCTTCCTCATGCTCTTCATCAGTCTCACCACCACCACCACCATCACCACCACTTCGCCGAAGGACTACTGTTACTCCTTCTGCTCCTCCCACTCCCACTCCCACTCCCATCCCCACTGCTATGTCGACTAACAGTACGACATCTGCCACTCTGTTACTCCACCTCCTCCTCCTGCTGCTACTACTACCATCACCTGCTCCTGCTCTCGTTCTTGCCACTGCCCCAACAAAAAAATAAACCCTCAAGGCTGAGCCCTATACGGCGCCCCAAAAAAACGAGGGAATAGATTCCTACTACTTGGGGTATGTATTGGGGTCCGTTACGGACCAGAAAGGAAGCTTGGTCCTCGGTCGTTCGGTGTTAGGCAACATAAGGCCCAGGCTCCCATTCGCAGACTGTCTTGGCTCAACGTCGAACAACACCTCATCAGAAACACTGGAACCACACCTCCTGGCTGAAGGCACCACAGGTGCAGACTAGACCTTTCAGCATTCAATCTCTCCTCACGCCAGGAAGTCAACAACCAAGGGCTGGACTTTGCGAAGTGTCACATCTGCATCGTCAAGAGCACCATCCTTCTGAATAGCAACATCAGGCCGTTTCTGATGCGACACTATGACCGTGGCGACGACGAACATGCGAAGTTAGATCAGCAAAACTCATGCTCTACTGTGATGAAAGCAATATGGATAAAACTGGACAAGTAGCTTGTTACCACTACTCTCACACCAAGGGTTCAGTCACCTTGGCCTCGCCGTCACTTGACGAAGCGTCGCCTGCTACCTGACAAGAACGTTCCAGGCGGCTTAGGGGTTTAGGCCTTCAGGGTTGATGGCGAAAGCCATGCGATCAAACAGAAGAATCAAGGCAACGACTCCCTGCAGACCTCAAACCGAGCTTCGCTGGACTGGGGAAGCCACGGCATCTCGCTCCGGTGCCGCGTCTTCCGACATGTCGCGCTTCAAGCAAAGCAACGAAGCAAGGGCTCGATGGGGGCTGCGGCCTGATTTACCCAGATCTTCCAAAATACCTTAATTAAGGAATGTACCTTAAGGATCCTTCTTATGGTTGTGGAGTCTCTGGGTAGGGTCCATCGCCACGAAGAACGGAGGTTGGATCCCACTTGAAATTGGCAGTGCCGGGAAGCAAGGATCCCCACTTATGCACGTATCAGCCTGTGAAGCTGCTGGTGCATTCTGTCTACTAGCAAGCTCAGAGCCGTACAGCAAATTGAGCAGATGCAATCGAAACACGCTTTATTAGCAATGCTGACATTGATAGGCTTTTATGGGGTTCACCAGATCAGGGAGTCATACCTGCCCCCCTGCTAGTTTGAGCGGCACGAAAGCGGGGTAGCGATGCTCCTTAGGTTGGGCGCTGTCAGTGTGCAACGCAAGTTACTCACAGGATGGGAGACGGAAGGAGGACTGCAGGGCAAGTACGGAGGCAGTGCGCATCGAATAGACAGCTCCTCATGGCTTCGGCTTCTCCTAGCACACTGGGACAGTCCCAAGGCTCAAGGCCTTAGAGCACCTTTTTCGCCTCTCCCAAAATAGAAGAGCCGCAGCTGGCTCAAGGTGCCCGCGGCTCCCCCAGGATCCTCGTGGCAGGCTCGGCCGTCTAAGGGCCCAAGGGCCCCCTCCAGTAGCTCTCTGCTCAGGGGCAGCTCCACGGGCTCGATGCCCAAAGCATCGCAGAAGCCCAGAAAACTCGCCAGGCTTCGAGGCCCCGACGGCTCCTCCCGATCCTCATCTCTTGTTTGGGAATTTTGCTAAACTAGCATCATATCTTTTACCACAAGAAGCAAATGAATAAGTAATTGTATATATATATATACAAAGACTAGTTGATCAGTTTCTGTAGTGACCATTGAGTTGTCTTGGCAACTTGAAAATGAAAAATTGTAACCAGAACCCAGGAGCGCAGAGAAGGAGCAGGACCGGAACGTGCCATGCGGGCGACATCAGGTCGACCAGGCGTCGGATCAGCTCTGCCAAAGCACGCTCGTTGTAGTACCCCGGATACACCAGATCGGATCCCACTATGAGATGAAGAGAATGAACGGGAATTTCGTCAGGTATCGCTGGATCTCTTTCCCAGTTCCACAGCACCGGCTGTAGCTGCGAGGCAGTGCCCACGTTCTGGGTCAAATTCTCCCAAGCATCCTCGTCGCCCTCGGCAGCAAACACCTTCTCCACGCCTTCTTGCACCAAAGCAAGCGACAGGAAGCCCGTGCCAGCTCCAAGCTCCAAAACCCTGGCGCCTTCCAGCTCCGTGCCCAGAGTGTCCTTCAGGGTTTAGGGTTTAGGGGAGCTTTCTTCAGGGTTTAGGGTGTAGGGTTTAGGGGAGTGTCCTTCAGGGTCGTGTGCAGCCATTGCAAGAGGACCCGGGCTGCGGGCCAGACAATGCAACTTGCCCTGTCGTCAATTTCGCGCACCACAGGGACAGCCGGCATAGGCGCCAACATCGGTGACAGCGACAGCAAAAACTGCTTTGGGTATGAATCGAAGCTCCGGTTCAGGCTCTCGGCGACGGGTTACGGCTGCTTCGATTGGAGGCACATGCGGGGTCCAGGAATCCGGCATTTAGAGCTTTGTGGTCCGTGGCGCAGTAGTCAGAGGCATATGTGAAGCTCGAACTCATGGTAACAGAGACTCGAAGCTGCGGGTCAACGCACTGCGACAAGCCACCGCAAATGCGCCACACCAATGCACCAAGGAAGTCAGACTCTGTCAGATGGCCCGAGCCCCGAGAAGACGCACGTTCAAACAGAGGACTGAATATAAGGGATCATATAAGGCTTAGGGTTTAGGGTTTAGGGTTTACATGGCTCTGAACCCTCACCACCCAAGTCCAGCATGCCACTGCTTGAACTTTTTTCCCAGCGCAGGTCCAGTCTTGGTCGGGAATCGGAGTTGCATTCCTTTCAGCGGTGGGTCTGGAGCTGCGGGCTTGAGGATAGGTCAGACCTGATGACTTGGGTTGAGGGTTGAATGCTCAGGATAAACACCGGCATTGAATGCAACAAGGGGGCACCCGGACTTTGACCAATCGCTGGTGGGGCGTGTTGGAGAGCTTACGGTCACACACACTGGCGCTTCCTTGGTGTCATCAGTCACGCCCCCGTTTCCAATGTAGCCTCCTACTGTATTTGAGGATGGCTAAAAACTCAGGTGCTAAAGCTTCAGAAGCATCTGACGCCTGGGATGACACCCCAAGAGGCCCTTGCCTACCTGTCCCCCATAGGCCCACAAAAGTGGATCTGGAAAGGTGCACGGATCTTCGATCTCAGCACCATGCAAGCCCCTCTAAAGGCCCTCTAAAGGGGCAATCAAGCTGGATTGCAGGGCAGGGGTTGAAGGTTTAGGGGCTGCTAAGTCGCCGCTACTACTTGCAGCTGCTACTCTGAATCGTACCTCGTGTTCCCTTTGAGCTACTGTACTTGGTAGTGCCATTCCGGTCATATGCGCCGCCCACGTGGGGCAAAAGAAAGCACAGAGAGCACAGCTCCTGCGACTCAAGCAATCCCTGGGTCTGCGAAGTCGCCGTTGAGAGGCGCAGTGCACTACATCGCTAAACCTTACAGTACGGTCTAAAAGAGCTTAGGGTTTAGGATTTGGGCTGAAAGCCTGGGATTTGAAGTGACCCGAAGACCGAAGGCAGAAAACGGTCACAGACTTTCCACGGCGTTCCCGATACCCTTCCTTTGAGCACATAGCCCCATATTCCAACTCTGGAAACGTATGAAGCTCAACAAGGCTGTCGATGATGTCCTGTCGGTGCGGACCAATGCTGAACCCTGAAGCCTTAATGTCAGGGTTTAGGCTTTAGGATCGTTGAATCCGGGATTTGAGTTTTAGGGTGCATGAACTCTTGCGACGCACTGCAGACTCGAGCAGATAGCATGGCTTCGCCAATGCAATACGGACACTACTGGCGGGACCCAGGCGATGCACTAGCAAGATTTTGCAGCCATGCTCAAGGAGTTAAGTCTAGTTTTCAGGCTGAAATCCAGGAAACCGCAAAGCAAGCGTGAAGTTAAAAGGACTTCCTTCCGGTTGCATAGTGACTGTTCACCTCGCAGTAAACTGCACAATACGTAGCAGGACTTCAGAAGCTGTTGATGTTTCATGGTCCTGGGAAGTTGCTTCAAGCCCCTTCTACAGCACCGGTCCTACACCCTTAAGCCTGAATCCCATGGACCGCGACTACATCCGTCGCCCGAGGGCTCGGAACGAGGCCTCAAACTCAGAGCTCACCGCGGCAAGCGCCGAAACAACCTTCAGGGAGGTTGCGGTCAGGGTGTGCAGGTGCAGGCTAGTAGTAGCAGTAGTAGTAGTAGTAGTAGTAGTAGTAGTCCTCCTCCTCCTCCTCCTCCTGCTCCTGCTCCTGCTCCTCCTGCTGCTCCTCCTCCTGCTGCTGCTCCTCCTCCTGCTGCTGCTCCTGCTCCTGCTGCT